TTCCCTAAGTGGAGTGCTCTGTCAGCTAAAGGCATGTTTTAGACTCTCTATACTCTGTTTAACGATGAATCCATCCATTTTCTTCCGCTTTATCCCGGGCCGGGTAACGGAGGCAGCAGTTTAAGCAGAGATGCCCAGGCTTCCTGAGGCAACACCAGGCCAGCTCAGAGACATAGTCCTTCCACGGCCTCCTCCCAATGGGACATGCCTGAACACCTCCCCGAGGAGGCAACAAGAAGGCATCCGGAACAGATGCCCGAACCTCCTCAGCTGGCTCCTTTCGACGTGGAGGAGCAACGACTCTACTCTGAGCTCCTCCCGGAGAGACGATTGATTCAATAATCCATTAATCAAGATTAGTCCGGTTGTTTCAGTCCTAATTGAAAGCTTAACTGGAAATATTCAAAACAAGCTATTTCAATACAATAGAAGAGAAAATGACTGCGTATTCTGTGTATTCCCCTTAACTATTTCCTTTTCTCAGGGTCAAATAAACATTTAATGTCCCTCCAACTGCTGTTAAACGTGGCCAGTGTTTATATCTCTAAGCAGAGCTTGAGCACAAACATACACCCACATCTAATACTCACATATTCCATCATGTTGTTGGTTTCACACTTCCTTTTGCTAAGTTTCCAGTGTAAACACAACTGCAAAAAGACACATGCAAAAACACAATTAGAGACATATTGAATATTGTTCATTTAAAATCAGTGAGTATATTCACCCACCTTGTGGTAAAGTCTGTTGTTTTCCCACTCTAAAAGTTTCTCAATCGATCTTCTTGTCTGAGAGGGAAACAGAAAATTCTTTCATAAGCTGGTATTATCCCAGACTAATGTCCCTTGAATGTAAACGCAGCAGTTCCTCTGAGCCACATAGAAACAGGATGGCATCTTCCTCACCCTTTTACTAAGGCAGATAACCGGCCACAAGCTGAAGCCCAGAGTACAGCAGCAGCAGAGGCAGCCGCACAGCAGCCATCGTACGTTCACTGGCAGGGTCTTCCTCAGACAGCTATTCACTCGATTGATACTTGCTTTGAATTCCTCAGGCGCCACCTACAGGAAGACCATCATCATACTACAGTTAATGCAGTTAGCTTTTAGAGCTACATTATGCAGTGTAGACATAAACACATATAATAATCTAAAAATAATCTAGATTAATGGATTTGCAAAGTAATCCTTAGTTGCACCCCTAAAAAAACACACACACACACACACACACACATATATATATATACACACATATATATATATATATATATATATATATATATATAGGGGTGCAACTAAGGATTACTTTGCCAATCCATTAATCTAGATTATTTTTCCATTATTCGATTAATAATCGGATAGCCATAGGTTCCTTGAAGAAGATTTTTTACAAAATTAAAAAAGGTGAAACT